GAGAGAGACTCAAGTTTTGAGTGGTCTTTCTGTCGCAGGGTTCTCCATAGCTGGTGAAAGCCAAGTGGTTTTCCCCAGCAGGACACTTAGCCTTCGGTGTTTGACCAGAGAGCGAGGTGGCAGTGGGGTCTCTGCCCAGGTTCCAGTGAATTCTGTAAATTTCCTGAGTTTGTGGTTGAAACTGGTCTCCCTGGACCAGCAGTTTGATATTTCCCCCTGTGGTGTTATATTCATGTTTCCACGATCAACATGTCAAACTGAATGAACTTTGTGGTCTAAGGATTTAAAAGATTTATAATGGAGTCTTGAAAATTTACTTAAGGAATATGTACTTCCCCAAGTAATAACAAATATTACTATAAATGGCCATATTAAATTAAAGTAACTTAGGCATTTCTGATTTGTAGGAAAGTTAAAATTAATCTTAAGGCAGTTTCAGTTTCAAAATGAAAACATGACTTTGCCTGACCGCAGATTTCCAGCCGGTTAGTCAACAGTAAATGAGCCCTCAGGTGACTATTCTCTTTCTTTAAGAGAAATTCAGTTTTCTCTATGTTTAGATAAAGCAATACTAGAGGGAAAGTTCTCTGAAAAATCAACTATAGTTGTATCTGGATATTTTTCTTAGAGAAGGAAAATATTCCCATGTAAGAAACTTCAAAAGTGCTGGTAGTAGTTTTTTTGTTTTGTTTTTTACAAGCTAAGTGGTGACTAAACAGATTGTCACTTTTTTATTCTTTAAACTGAGCTTATAAATATATACAGTCAACTGTAAATATTCCAAGAGGTTTTTAATATTTCTAAACACATAATGGTCACAAGTCTATACTTTTTTCCATGAGTGTTCTTTAATGAGATGTTATTTGTAGAAGAAAATGAAGCCATTCTTATATCTTCTTCCTTTCCATTGGTCTGTTCCTTAATGAGTAGGTAAGAAACCTGGTCCATATGCTTTTCTCCACATTAAGAAATGTTAATAACTACAAAGTGTTCTGCTAAGCAATTAGCAACTCACTTTTGGGGAGGGAAAAATCCCTGATTTGTAGTATTTGTCAATATCTATGATGTGAATACTCCATCAGTTTCCTGCTGCCCACCTGACTTCAGGTGGAGAGAGACTGTGGCTTACACCATTATATAGTCATTCCACCAAGCAGGTGTGATTTTTTTTTTCTTAGAAAATTATGTTTTTATTATCGTGTCAGCTAGATTGTTTGATTCACTCTATGAACAGTTTATTTTTACATCATTTTGTACATTTTTTTTTTCATCTCAATTGTAATCCCCGTGGGTTTCCCATCACCGAGTCACCTGTGTGCCATCACCATAGTCCCGTGCACTTCCCTCCTCCCCCCCCGTTTTTGATCCCATTTTCCACTCCACCCCCACAAAATGTCTCTGCTATATGGCTGTTCATTATTCTTATTATTTTCTTGCCTGGTCCATTATACTCAAGCAGGTGTGATTTTAATGTAAATGACCTTGATATAACAGATTATAGCAAAAGGAGTGAAATCATCAAGAACAGATCATCCTGGAATACTACAACCTTTGCTTTAAAGTCGATTTAATTACTGGTTTCCATCATTTAATTTTTAATAGCAGTTATCTCTACTGGCTTATAAAATCCCTGAAAATTTAACAGCTCTCACATGCCAACACAAGCCCGTCCCAAGGCACTAAGGTTAGAGCATCCCACCCCCCAACCCCCTTTGCAAAACTGAAAGGAAATGGTGAGGTGGATCTAGCCAGCCTGTGCTAGATCACAACCCAGTCAGCCTACAAATCAGGACCCATCAAAAGCCAGAAGCCCCTCACAGGCTGCCGCCCCTGGCTAATCTGACCACCCCATTTTCAGCATAGAAGCCCCAGGGTGACACACCTGCATTTCCCAGGCCTGGAGTTCTACCTCTTTAAACATTTTCAATTTGACTCTGAAGTGAAGATAGGGAAACAGGTTTTTCCTTGCTGCGGTGGCAGTGTGACTGATGGGCATCTTGGAGTCAGTCCCAAGACTTGACTGGGCTCTAATACCAGCTCTGCCGCCAGAGCCAGGCGAACAGGTCACTGCATAAATTCCCAGTTTCTGTGAAAAATGGGGGCCTGGACTGCGTGATTTGACTTCCCCTGGTTTCTTTCTGTTCCTAAAGCCCATGTTAGCTCCCTAATTACTAAGGGCTTTTAAAAAGACAGTGTCATGTCAAAACCCACTGAGAAAAGCTCACCAACCACAGAGGGACATGACTTCCCAGCTGTGTGCTTATGGAGTTCTGCTAATCCCGACAAAGAAACATTTGGACTGTGGTCCTTCAAAGACATGTCAGAATGCAATCAACTTGGAAGGTGGGAAATGGTTTGGCCTGGTCAGAGCCAGTATCTCCTGTCCTCACTGCTTCACAACCGTTACTTCATCTCAGGGGGCTTTCGTAAACTTGTTTCTCCCTATGAGTCCTCACCATTGGGAATGTGCTTGTCTTTTGACAAATAGCCATACTGATGGGACATTGTTTTTAAAACTTTGGGGTTTAATACCTTTAAAAAATAAAAAGGTGAAATCCTGATGAACAAGTGAAAGGGGAAAAAGAATGATTCAATGTTATGAGGGCTGGTGAATTTAACCAGCACCTCTGGGCATTTGGATGTCCATGGATGCATTTGTTGTCAATGGGAATAAATCGAGTGGCTGTGGGAATAAATCATGTTGCCATGATTTATGGGTGTAGCTTCAAGTTCATAACTACCATCCTAGAGAGGAGGAGGAGGAAGAGAAAGGGTAGAGGGAAAGATGGGTTGGCAGAGGTGCTTTGAGTTTCATGTTTAATGTTTTTAACATGGCACCTCATTCTGGCTTCTAGGAAGCACTTAGCAAATATAAAGCAAAATCAGATTGCTGTCCATAACTGATCAAACCCAAGTGGGGGAGTTAGAGGCTGTGTGTGTACATTATTGTGATCTTTCAGAATTGTATTGATTGAAGATCAGATTCTCTGCAGAAAATCCAAAAATGCATTTTAATTCATTCCCTACTACAATTATTAGTGCCAAAAAAAAAATGCTGAGGTTTAGTTTTATCAGTTTATCTCAAGTCACAAAGTAGGTAACATAGCTAGGATTTGAACCCTTAGCTTTCAAATTCCAAGATCTTACTAAAATGGAAGATGTAAATTTTTCATTTGACTATATAGCGCATCTGTGTTTATTTTACTATCTTAAAAAACTAGTTTCAGTGATCTACATTGAGAACAGTTGATTTTGCTGGAAGAAGCAATGTTTATCCTGGGTTTGGTCACACTGTACCCCCAATTTAAGAAGCTCGGCACGGTGCCATACAGCAGTACTATTTAGAATAATAAAAAGTTCTGGTTCCTTAGTTTTCTCTGAGTGTATGTTTTGAAGAGAGGTTAACATGAGAGGGAAAAGCTGTTTTAAGAGCAGTATGGCTAACTGCATCTAAAATAAAAGGAGTACTTGGCTGTAGGATGCAAGTAATTCTGTTTTTGCACTATTATTTCCTCCTTCTTTATAAATCATCACCTCTGATAACACAAACCCTAAGCATTTAAGGCAAAGCATGTAACTTTATTGCAATTCAATTTGAAACATGCAATCCAATTTATAGATCTAGATTGTATTGCAGAAACCATTGGAAAAATGTGTCACCCATGTTCCAAATAGAAAAGATCTTTAAGTCATTCTAACTATTGTAATATTGTTTCATGTTTAATCGACTCTTAAGCTACTAGTAGGCATTAGAGTGATTTTTTTGCTTCCAAAATTTCATAGTGTAATGGAGACAACTGCTGAGGAGTTTTATAGGCAGCTTGTAAAATGACTTGAGTAAAATACATGTTTAAGTACGGTGGGATCATTTTATGATGAATTGTATTAAGGCAGTCAAAACATAGTTGAAGACTTGAAGAGTATGTGAAAATTGTTTCTTTGCCTTGGGGGGCGGGGGGCACAGGAATCTGCTTTATTGCCTGAACACTTTAGACACTCAATACTAGGATATCTATCACCATTTTCAAAAATGCAGCTGAACAAGTCTGTCAGTAATACAAAAAGTTGTTGCAATTCTCCACATAGTTTTGAAACTTGTTTTGCATGAATTTAAGAAATGTCAGCTTACACAGTGAGAAAATAGTTGGAATATTACTAACATCAGAACTGTTGAAAGAATAAGTTTGAAGTTTCCAAAATGATGCAATCAGGAAAAGTCATTTTTCCTAGGTGAGTACTAATTCGCAGCATAAATAAATCCTTAGTACTGATCTTATTCCATGCACAGTTCTCTCCCACCTTCTTGAATCTGAACAGACTTATTCAGTCATTTTGTGATTGTTTACTGAGGTGGGCTTGTTCGTGTATTAGAAGCAGGTATGACACCTTTCCAGTATGCTAGGGAGAAAAGACCTTCATCAGTGAAGAAAACCTTAAAATCTAAAGTAACATCATGAGAGCCCAGAATAATACAGAGAAGAATCTGTTTTCATGGCAGTCAGGAGGCAGGAACAATAAATAGGACCAATCTAGAGAGAAGAATGCCTCTCTACCTGGTGTAGTTGGGAATCTTTGAGCAATGGGCTTTAAAAGATCATTTCATAGGGCCCTCCCTGGTGGTGCAGCGGGTTATCACAGCACAGAGAAGCTAAAAAAAGCCACTTCCGCATGAGTTCGATTCCCGCCTGCCCCGGAGGTGACCACATGGCGTGGCAGACCTCTCTGACCCGCCCATTGATCCCGTCAGCAGCATACTTCATCCATCTGTCTGTTCTGCCCCCCACTTTGTCTCTGGTGAGGCCTCTTGCTGCCCCTGAGCCTCTGGCCTGTACCCCAATTCTGTATGTACAAATAAATAAATCTTTAAAAAAAAAAAAAGATCATTTCATCATGTGGGAAAAGGGAAGCTGAGGTGTTTTTGACCTACGAACAAACTCTTTCCCCATAAGCCCTCATACTCTGGAGAAGACGCTTGTACTTACCTTCCCTTTTCGCTGCAGATTCATGACAGATGCTGCTCGCCGAGAGCAGGAGACACTAAAAAAGAAGATTCAGCCAAAGCTCTCGCTGACCCTGTCCAGCTCAGTGACTCGAGGGAATGTGTCCACTCCACCACGCCACAGCAGTGGAAGCCTTACTCCCCCCGTGACCCCACCCATCACCCCCTCCTCTTCATTCCGCAGCAGCACTCCAACAGGTGAGTGACTTGGCTCTACCCCCTTAGGTGGGGGCTGGGGAAGTGCGTGTGTGTGCATGCGTGTGTACGTGCATGTGTGTGTGTGCACGCATACACTGGAGGCAAAAGAGGACCTGAAACAGTGATTCAGGGCCATCTCTGTAGAGCCTGTTGATTAATTCACCTGTTGTTGTTATTGAAGAAATATTTATTGTTTATATTATGTGGATGATAATCTTCTGACATTTTCTCAACTTCTACCATTTATATGTATGGGTGGAATAGTGCAGTATCTTGGGTTTGTTCCAGGGAGTGTAGGCAGAGGGGTGAAACAGGCTGCTATGGGTTTACTACTGTCGGAGCTGATGATAAATGAGTACCTAAGGATTCATTACACTGTTCCCCTATTTTTTGCTTATTTTTAAGTTTCTCCTGGAAAAAAAAAATATTCTTAAACATTTAGAGTGCCTCCTGGGTGCTGGGCGCTGAACTGCAATATGAGCCTAAGGACAGCTCCCCCTTGTCCTGGCTTAGTGAGGCTTAGTGGAACATGTTGGCATTCCAGGGGCTCAGCAAGAAACTCTAGTCTTTCCCTCCCAAATGTGAAAACAACTGAAAAATAAAACAAGAGTCAGAGGTGCAGATCAAATATAATTTTAGACTGCAGAATGGCATTCAGATTATAACTACTGGGTTTCCTAGCATATTTTCCCTGAGTTTTATTTCCTAAACTGCCCTGTGATTAACAAGAACAAACTCCAAGAGCATCCTGGGTCCCCACAGAGCAGACTCAGCCCCTTCTCCCAGCACAGAGCTCCCTTCAGTCACTGCTCCCCCACAGGGAAGAGTGAGTGCAGATCCTGGAAAGTTCCCTCCTCTCATTTCCATCTGAAAATCACAGAATATTTCTCTTCTTCCAGGAGGAGTATAGACAGGCATTAATCAAATAAATACATCAATAAATAGAGCATTGTAACCAGGCCAGTGCCACACAGAGCGCAGTGATAGAAGACCATCCAGAGACAAGTTCAACCCAGTCAGATGAGTCAACCCCAAAAGATGAGTAGAAGTTGAGGGGAAACAGAGGAGCTGATGTTCCTAGATGCCAGCAGGAACTGTTCTGCAAAGCCTGTGTGGGTTAGGCAGCTGGCTGGTGCCTAGATCCTGAAAGTAAACCACAGGTTGTTGGTTGAATCAGCAGGGACAGGGGCACTGTGCATCTTATTAAAGAGCTGGTTGATTTTAAGAATAAAGAGAAGCCACTTACTATCACACCATCTTCTTTGTAGAATTGTTTCCTTGATCTGGGATAAAAATATTTATTTTCTCTTACAGTTTATATTTTTCTTTCATGCATCTCATCTACGGAGGTGACTATGTTAGAATTTCTCAAAGTGTGTGTCAGAATATTATTTTAAATAAACAGTAGTTGGTAGAAAAGAGATTCCCTAATAAGTTTGGGGAAATAAAGATTTAAACAAAGTTAAATTGATTTCTTTAATACTGCAGGGCTTTAATGTGCATTGTTATGCCAAGACAAAGATTCAGTAAGTTTCTCAAACTTATTTGCTCCCGTATGGTTCCTTTTTTTCAAGGAGTATCTCAGGTTCTCATATTTGTGGACAAGACATCCTGTGCTGTGTCGGGAGGGGGCATTTCAAAGACAGAATAGGCAAGGAAGGCAGACAGGTCAGAAAGCCTACCTTAACTTCTCCTGTCACAAATCACCAGTAATGACCACGCTATAGGTGTTGACCCCACTACAGGTGTTGGCTCAAGAGTTCAATGTGATAACGTATGTATCCACCCAGTCTCCAACAAATGTTTGTTCTCTGGACCAGATTGTTCAGCTAGTAACTTTAGGAACAGAGTCAAGGTCCTTCCTCTGTAGAGAGTGAACTGTTTCAGATGTATTGGGCATCTGTTCATTTCTCTAGAGAGATCGCCATTTTTCCCTTATATGTTATTCTGTGAAGGTTCTCTCTTCTAAGATCTTTGTATAATATTTACCTTGTAAATCTAGGGAATGCCATTGAGAATGTAGTATAAGTCTACAGTCCCCTTTCTAGGTATTTCTATGAATATTTATTCATATATACTATGAATTATGGGGGCAGTTTTATACCTGGATGTGTTTTATACCGTACTAAATATGGACAGAATCACAGCCAATGCCAGAAAACTATAAATGCCCAATTAGTAACGGGTACCCTAGAACCCAGTGAAAATAAAGACAGTTTGAAGGTGAGAGCTTATTATTTTTCATGAAAGAATGTTTGGAAAAAGTGGAATCATTTCCTTTTCCTTCAGACATAAAGAAATCTTTCTGACACCTTGCCTATTTTAGCAATTTCCCACTGAGAGAATTAATTTATGTTGTGGTAAAGATGTATCATTTTCACTCTGTCAAGCTCATTGGTAAGTTATTTGCTGCTTGAAGAACATTCCATGTAAACATAAAAATTAGCAGGGGAAATGGTTTGAGAAACCCCACCGTGTGCTATGTTGATTGTGTACATTTTCCAATGTTTGAAATGTTATTTTACCTGTAGTTACAGAGATCAGCTTATTTTTCCTATCTAATGTAGCTTTAGTCACTTTCACTACCATGTTATAAATAGTATTCCAAGCTTCTACCTCCTAAATTCACTCTTCGAAGTTCTATTTTCAAAGTACATTCCTGGTCCAGAAGTAATAGTCATCTTGTAGAAAATTTTATAAAATACTTTAAAAAATATACTGCCTTGCCTAGACTTCACTCAGTTCAACTTGATCCTAGACTTTTGAGGATTTCCTAGGACCAAGATTTATTTTGTAATTTCTAAACTCCAAAAGAATCTTCTCTTATCCTTTTTATTTCTATCATTGCTTACTTTTCTTTATATATGTACATATATAAAGATTTTATTCACTGAATGGAGGCTTAGAATTTTTTTTTTTTTTAACATTTAGTTTGTTTATGGATACAAACTAAAACTGGTGGTGTAGGCCAGACTTACTGGGGGGCGAGGTGAAGTAAAGGATTCACTAGAGACAAAGTGAGGAGCAGAACAGGCAGATCTACTGAAATACACTGCTGAGGAGAGCAGTGGACATATAGGAGAGGTCTATTGCACCATGTGGGTCAGCTCCCTGGCTAGGGATTGAACTCATACTGCACTGGCTATTAATAGCTTCATAGTACTGAAACTTTATCCCATGTGCAAACAGGCCCCTTATAATGATTTAAATCATGAGTCAACAAACATTTTCTAGAAGACAGATATTAAACTCTTCAGGGTTTGCTGGTATAGAATCTCTAGCTCCGCTTCTTAATTCTGGTGTTTAGTAAGAAAGCAGCTGTGGAACCACATAAACACATGGGCATGGTGTGTTCCATTAAAACTAAAAGTTTTTAGAAAACTTAATTTACAAAAATTGGCTGGATTTGGGAGTATTTACACCAGTGAAATTGGCAAACTGTCTCCCCAGTTTATGGTTGTACTACTGTTTTATCTTTTCAGTATTTATCCATTTAGCCTTATTTAGTTTGTAGTTCAAGGGAATGTGGTCTTAATTGTGGCTTTGAGTAAACTTAAAGCAAAAGCCAATCACCAATAAACAATGACCATTTTAAACAGTGGATTACTTTGCAGCCAACAATGTCACTATGAAATGACATGCAAAGGTGTCAGTTTTTAAAAAATCAGTTTTTAAAATTGTATAGACACTGTGATCCTAATTCCCCCCAAAAGTAAACTCTGGTTACCCTAATATGATAGTGTCTGTGGCTTAACTAAGTAATTTCTTCTTTCCGCTCCATATTTACCCACTGAATCTTTCAAAACAGTGACTCTCAATCTGACTGAAGATTGAAATCATCATGAAGTGTTTTTAAGTCTTTGCTGATTCAGTTAGTGAATGAGACTTGGGCATTAGGATTTAAAACAAAAAAAACTTTCAGACTAGGTAATTCAAACTTATATCCAGAGTTGGAAAACCACTGTTGTCAAATGTGACCCGTATCACCACTGAGTGTTTTCTTGCTTGGGTTCACATAGCTCCCTCTTGCCTGGAGAAAGGTTACTGTAGGCCATTTGCTTAGACTCCAGAGATGAGTCCAATGGGACTGAACAGATGCTCACTTATGTCTTAATGTAGAAGCCATGGAAAGTGTTGGCTGGATTTCTGGTTATAATAGCATTGCATAATCTCTCTTGGAAAATATTTGTATATATATTTTGGCCCACTCACGGGAAAAAATTCAAGTATTAAACGAGAGAGGCGCCCAAGGTAATTAAACCAATTTTGGGGGGTTTGTTTAGGCTGCGTATTACGACCATGAAGTCACAGATTATATCGATTAAAGCTTAAACTGAGTTTCTACATTGTGTTATTTCACTTCCTATTCATGTGTCTCCTCTATTTGGCTTTCTAGGAGATTCTTAACATTCCTCTGACTTTTGAAACAAATTATTTGTATTTATGAGGATTTTGAAATTTTCAGGGGTTATAGACAAACAGTGAGTAATTTAAAAGAATAAAGCATTGATTTTTCTCCTCAGGATAGAAATTACTTTGTGATTAAAGACTTACAGAACACAGAATTTTGTTTGAATTTAGAAGCTCCACTGAATGGGGTTAAAGTGAACTGTTCTCCCACCTCCTGCCTTCATTTTTAGAAAAGAAAATTAACCAAAATACTTAATAAAGGCAGAAAACTTTAGAGAAAGATAACTAAAAAAGGTCTAAACCAACATACCTTTCCTTCACCCCTACTTCCATCCCACCCAAAAGAAGAGAGTGAAGTAAAAGAAAAACCTCAGGGAGAATCCTATTTAATGGTGGAACAGGAGAAAAGAAAGGTAAACTATTTCATCCTTACTAAATATTGTGACCTATATAGGGATCCAAAGTCGTGGTTTGGTATTTCTAACAAGTTGCTCCTAACGAGTTCAATACCTGGATGACTTCTAAGGACCATTTTCTGTAGTCTTTCTATTTTTAAAAAATCGCCTTGATTTCTATTACCCTTTTCACAG